TTTTGAAGTAGTTCTTATATATTTCATTGGCAATAAAACTGGTTTATTTTCCCCTGGCACTCTCCCTTGATTGGGGTTTTGTCATCTAATTCAGTAGTATCTTCTTTGTGGTTTAAAGGGATTATGCTGATGCTATTGCTCTCAATATCTAAGAGTGTGTTTCTTTTTCTTTTTTTTCTTTTCTTTTTTTCAGCCACCACAACAGAAGGGAGTATGTTTCTTAATGCAGGAGACTGTAGTAGTTCTACAACCTCTCTCTAGTGGGGCTGATAATAAAAAAGTAATATAAAATACTGACAGTTTATCTTATTTTTATCTCTATGACTTTTAGATTCCCTAGTGGCTTTTACTAGAAAGTCTAGTGATTTTTTTATCACCCCTAAACTCCTTGTGTGAAAGAAGCACCCAAATTGGGGAACACCTAGAATTCTTCAAGAACCACCTCTGTGGAAAAAATATCTTTTTTCCTGATAATGTCATTCTTAAAATCCCTCCAGCAATTAAGACTTCCCTTTATGGTGACTTTAAAGTGAATATCATGTTCTCAGAAGAATAAATGCCAGGAGAGAATGTGAAGATGTTCTTACTGGAATTAAATAGCAATGCCTCTAATTAATGTTTCGTCAGTAGAATATGAATTTTTTCAATATCTGGCTTCTATGATGAAACCCGATATAATCTCAAACATTTTGCTCTAAACTTTTGTTACAATGTATACTTCTTCTAGCATATAATTTACTTTTATTAATGTTTTGTTAATAAATCCCACTGTGCCAGGGCATGCAAAGGAGCTTTTTAAGTATTCATTGCATTACAGTAACTTAATATAATTGGATAATAATATTAAAATTAATAAACACAGAAGTATCACCCCATAATCCTGTGACCAAGGAGAGAGAACTGAACCAGATCTCCATCTTTCCTCAGGGCTGGGTTCCAGTTTTGTCTCTATAGTTTTGCAGAAAGGACATTATAAATTTTCACTCTGTTCCCAGGATAGTAAATACTTACCACAAAGAACAGATAGGAAGCATGGCTGCTTCTGGTTATGATAAATTCTCCTAATGGGGTCAAATATAATGTTAAAACATTTGGAACTATAGCAACAGGGATTCCTTTTTTATTTGAACTACAAGAATATTAAAAATGAGATTAAACAAGCTTTTAGTTATACTTATTATGTCCCGTTTCTCAAGGGTTATGCTTTGAAACTACTGATGTGAACTTTGTTTTTCCATTCTTTCTGTACTTCTTCAGACCAGATGGAGACTATGCATCTTCACTTAATGGTGGAAATACTAAAAGCATTGAAGGAAATTCATCTGGACACTTACCAAAGTTCTGCCATGAGTGTGGGACTAAATACCCTGTAGAATGGGCCAAGTTCTGCTGTGAATGTGGCATTCGAAGAATGATTCTGTGAACAGAATCCCAAAAGAAAAAGAGCCGAGTTCAGAGTTTTATGGTTATTGCTGCTTGGACAGCTAGAGCACTTCCTCTAGTTATTTTCTGCTAAAAATATTCAAAATACCTTTTTCAGTAATTTTTGGAGCATAATCTTTTGGCTATGTAATGTGTGTGTGTGTATATATATGTGTACATATACTGTATATAATAAATACCTGATACCCCTCCCTGACTGTGCCCTTCAAGGAAATATTCACTTATCTGTCAGAAATAAATGGAATGATAAATGGAATCATTAATTTAGGTATTATTAATACTTTTCTGCTGTTTTAAAGCACATTAAGTATACTTCCACAAACTCTCATACTTTAGTGCTTAGTCCTTCAAGCTTTAGGATAATCATAACTTTGAACAAAAATTTGAGTAAATATTTCTATTATTGTGCCTGTCTTCAGATAT